AGGGCTGCTGGGAGAGTCCTCAGCTACCTCCCATCCTTCCTTCCCATATACTGGCCTCACTTGTCTAGAACCCCACGGGGGAGTAGGGTGAAGTGCTGGAACACCATCCCCCCACCCCCTAACACACACACACACACACACACTCAGTGACATGCTGAAGACATCGGATCTCATGCCCTGCCTGCAGGGGCCTGGGCAGGGCAGCGCTGGGTTTGCATCTAGAAGCTCCTGGAAACCTCCCCCTCTTCTCCCCTCAGCTGCAGGAATATTATAAGAAGCAGCAAGAACAGCTCCACCTGCAGATCCTCACCCAGCAGCAGGCTGGGAAGCAGCAGCCCAAAGAGGTGAGTGAGTGAGGGGCTTGCAGAGCCAGCCCGGCCTTCTTCAGTCCGATAAAAGCAGTGGCCTTGTGGGAATGGAGGAAAACATTGTGTGTGGGGGGGGGGCTCACGGAAGAAGTTAGGGGTGAGCATTCACACGCCTCCAATTCGTTATCCCTACCCATCTTCCTCTCCTTGCCTCAAGTTGTATTGTCTCTGCACACGTGTGAAGAAGTGTGTGCAAGCCGCCGGCTGTGTCTGGTGGCCTTTGCTTATATCCATCGGCTTGGTGCCATACAATCTTCCTTCTCACTTTGTCCCATCGGGAGGACCCTCAGCGGTGTCCTCCCACGCCATAGCCTGCCCTGGCCTCTGTCCTGTCCCATGATGCCCTGGATGGCCCCACCAGCTTACTCTCACGGCTCCCAGCCCAGCCTCTGCCCCACCTCCCGCCACAGTGCCTCCTGAGAGGTCACATCGGGTCTCCTTCCTGACCAGACTGCTGCCCTACTTCAGGTTGCCCCTTCCCAGAATGCCGCTGTGATGGTAGCCAGGAATTCCCCACTCCTGGAGCTCTCCCAGGGTGCTTTCAACTGCTCAGATCTGTTTTCCAATCTGGGCTGTTTATCCTCTTGCCTCAAAGAATTGCCCCCCCCCACCCCGCTAATACATACCAGCCCCCTCCCCGGGGCAGGCAGGCAGAGATACCCGGGCTCCCAAACATCCAGGACATGCTTGTCTCCTGGGCTTAGAAAACTTGCTGACAGCCTGACTTGTCAGTGCCTGTGTGAAGAACTGAGTGGGGAGGGGTAGGGAGCCAGGAGCTTGTGTCTGGGCAATGTTGATGTCACTGTTCTAGGATCCCAGCCACTCCTTTAGCGCTGTATCTAAAAAAGCAAAATGGGATGGGATGGGCTTGCAGAGGCTCCCCCACCCTAGAAGAAGGGGGCCCCTGGGCATGTGGGAAGGGTCTCCTCCAGGTGGGAGTGGTCCCCAGATCTGACAGGCTCATCCATCACTGTGATGAGAGCCCCCCACCCAGGCGCACAGCTGCGGTGTGCATAGTAGAAGCTGCCTGCCTCCACTGCCGCCGCGAGGAGGAGGAGGGAAGAGGGAGGGAGTCGTGCTGCGTGTCTGGGTCTGGCTGTGTGTGTTTGCGCGTGTGCGTGCGTGCGTGCATGCGTGTGTTTACTGAGAGAAGGCATGCAGCCCTATGGAAGCTGGGCCGGGAGCAGAGAAGCTGCAGCTGCAGAGGCCACCACGACAGCTCCAGGGGCTGACAGGCCCTGGGAGGGGGTGGCGGCAGTGTGGGGGCCAGATGGCACCGCCGAAGCCAACGGCACCCCTCTCTGCCCGCCCCCTCGGGCTCCCTCCCAGGCTCTGGGGAACAAACAGCTGGCCTTCCAGCAGCAGCTCCTGCAGATGCAACAGTTGCAGCAACAGCACTTGCTCAACCTGCAGAGGCAGGGGCTGGTCAGCCTGCAGCCCAGCCAAGCCTCGGGGCCCCTCCAGGCCCTCCCGCAAGGTGAGCAATGCCCCACCCTGCCCCCAGCCCACAGCTTCCACCAGGCCCTGGGTGAGGCGCAGACTCTGTGTTGTGCTCCCAGCCAGCCTCTCTCTCCTGCAGCAGCCGTGTGCCCGACAGACCTGCCTCAGCTGTGGAAAGGCGAGGGTGCCCCAGGGCAGCCTGCCGAGGACAGCGGCAGGCAGGAGGGGCTGGACCTCGCCAGCACAGCTGCCACCGCTACCTCGTTCGCCAGCCCCCCCAAGGTCTCCCCACCCCTCTCCCACCACCCCTTACCCAATGGACAGCCCACTGTGCTCACATCTCGGAGAGACAGGTATGGATGGCCCTAGGGTGTAGCACGTGCCAGGGCCCTGCTCTGGGTTGTACCTGGAACCCCAAGGGTGGCAGCGTGGGGGGGGGGCTGGGAGGGAGGGAGGGAGGGGCTGGAGCTCAGGGACCCAGGAATACAGAATGGGAAGCCAGCAGACAAAAGCTGGGCTCAGGGCTGCTGAGGAGGGGCCGGGCGGGCTCTGACCACTGTCTCTCTCCTCCCCTTCTAGCTCCTCCCACGAGGAGACCCCCAGCTCCCACCCCCTTTATGGACATGGAGAATGCAAATGGCCAGGCTGTGAGACCCTGTGTGAAGACCTGGGCCAGTTTATCAAGTAGGTGTGACCCAGCCTCTCCCTGCAGGGGCCCTCTCTGTCCAGCCTGCTACCTGTGCAGCCTGCTACGGGTCCCTCTTGTCACCTGTGGTTCTGATTTCCCGGCAGCCGGGAGCCTAGCTCTGCCTCCGCTTGTCCCTCCCACCCCCATAGTTCTTCTGGCAGCTTCCCCCCCCCACACCCGCCCACCCCAGAACAGGGATGTCAGTGGAGGAAGCCTATCTCTCCACATCCCGGAGTGACGGCCTAAGACGGCCAGCCGAGGACAGGCAGGGTGGGAGGCAGACAGGCGGCTGGCAGCAGGCGGCCAGCCGCCACCACAGTGCCAAGCTCTGTCACTGACTGATTAACTCCGCTGTCTCCCGGACCCTTGCAGCATCAGGGTCAAACAAATTGTTTTCACGCTTCGTCAGAGGTTTACTTAATTAGTTCATTTGCAATTAGATCTCTCTGTAGCCGCCTTAGCTGAGACATCAAAGGAGGCTCTCAATTGCTGTCCCTTTTGTCCCACCCAGTTCTCTTTGTATCTTATTCTGTCTGCTTTTCTGGCTAAGGGCTGGCTGACAGAGTTGGGGTTGGAGGATGGGTTGGAGAGGTGAAGTAAGAAAGCCCAGGGCTCACTCTCTTCCCTGATCTCCTCTCTAAGACACCTCAACACAGAACACGCTTTGGATGACCGGAGCACGGCCCAATGCCGCGTGCAGATGCAGGTGGTCCAACAGCTGGAGATCCAGGTGTGATCCAAGGGTGTGCAGGAAGAGCACACAGGGCAGGGAGGGTCCTGGGGGCGGGGGCCCTGTCACCAGAGCCAACATCTTATGCTCTCAGGGTCTTAATCACCACAGCGTGCGGTGAGGGCCAGTGAGTTGTGAGGGTAAACTGAGTTTGCGGCTGTGTGTTCAGGGAAGTGTTACACGGTGTGTAAACACAAGGTAATGTGAATGGCGAGTGTACAGGCCCGCTGTGGGCCATGCTTTCCTCAGAGCAGCCCGCCAGGCCTGCGCTAACACTGTCCCCGTGAGACACTGGCACGGAGAGCCTGGATAACTTTCAAGTGGCCACTCCGTGAATGGAGTAACTGCGGTCAGAACCTGCATGGGGTCAGTCAGCCAGCCATGTTTAACCATCTCTGGCTCCTAGGGTGCCCTGGGAGAGAGGGGAGTTGTAAAAGATGTATCAACTTTATGAATGAAGGAAGTGAGTCATTCATCCATTCCCACACACCTCTTCAGTACTGAACCAGGCCGGCTCTGGGGTGTGGTTCAGCCACAGATTCTGCCTCCTGTGAGGAGGAAGGGCACATAGTTGCCCATGTGTCAGGATGGTAAAGGCCGAGCCGAGGATGCCTATGGAGAAAGGGAGAGAGCATCCCATCCTGGCCCTGTGGGTGTGGAGGTCCAGAGGGCAAAGAATGGCTGAGTGAGGCCTTCAGAAAGTTTTCACAAGTGAGACACAGAGGGGGTAAATACCTCTGTGTGTGTGTGAGAGAGAGTGTGTGTGTGTAAGACAGTATGAGTATGCATATGCCTGTGGTTGTATGTATGTGAGTGTGAAGTGTGTGAATGTATGTGAGTGTATATATGTGAATGTGTGTGTGAGAGAGTGTATATGGGTGTATATGTGTGTGATTGTATGTATGTGAGTATGTGTGTGAGTGTGTGTATGTATGTTTGAGTATATGTGAATGTGTATGTGAGTGTATATATGTGTGATTGTATGTGTGTGAGAGTATACATGTGTATGTACATGGGTGTGTGTGAGTGTGTGAGTATATGTGTGTGTGAATGTGTGTGAGTGTATATATGTATAAGTGTGTATAGGTATATGAGTGTGTGAGTGTATGTGTGTGTGTACATGAGTGTGTGTGTGAGAGTGTGAGTGTATATATGTGTGTGATTGTATGTGTGAGTATATATATGTGTATGTGTGTGAGAGTATATATGTGTATGTACATGGGTGTGTGTGAGTGTGTGAGTATATGTGTGTGTGAATGTGTGTGAGTGTATATATGTATAAGTGTGTATAGGTATATGAGTGTGTGAGTGTATGTGTGTGTGTACATGAGTGTGTGTGTGAGAGTGTGAGTGTATATATGTGTGTGATTGTATGTGTGAGTATATATATGTGTATGTGTGTGAGAGTATATATGTGTATGTACATGGGTGTGTGTGAGTGTGTGAGTATATGTGTGTGTGAATGTGTGTGAGTGTATATATGTGTATATATGTATAAGTGTGTGTACATGAGTGTGTGTGTGTGAGTGTATATGTATAAGTGTGTGTATATGAGTGTGTAAGTGTATGTGTGTACATGAGTGTGTGTGAGAGTGTGAGTGTATATATGTGTGTGATTGTATGTGTGAGCATATATATATGTGTGTGAATTGTGTGAGTGTATATGTGTGTGTGTACATGAGTGTGAGTGTATGTGTGTGAGAGTGTGTGAGTGTGTGAATGTGTGTGTGTGTGTGTGTGAGTGTCGGGGCTCTCTGAGGAGCACTCTGGTCGAGGACGGCGGCGTGTAGGCATGAGGACCCATTTGTGTCCCCTCACTGTGCCTTCCTTGCCTGCGCTTTTTCACAGCTCGCCAAGGAGAGCGAGCGGCTGCAGGCCATGATGGCCCATCTGCACATGCGGCCTTCAGAGCCCAAGCCCTTCAGTCAGCCAGTGAGTACCCACTTCTGTGCATGCCTTGAGCCCTTCCCCAGCACACCCTGGCCTCCAGGGGACAGCTCCCGCGGTCCCCGTGCTCACAGCTGAACCCAGTCCCTGGCTCCTCGTTCTCCAAGGTGACCGTCTCTGCAGACCCATTCCCAGATGGCCTCGTGCATCCCCCGACTTCAGCCGCTGCCCCTGTCACACCCCTGCGACCCCCTGGTCTGGGCTCTGCCTCTTTGCATAGTGGGGGCCCTGCCCGCAGGAGAAGCAGCGACAAATTCTGCTCCCCCATCTCCTCAGGTGAGGCTGCTTTTGGGAGGTTTCCCCCGGGAGGGTCCCCAATCTGGCTGCCTCACTTTCTTCCTGTCTCCCCCAGAACTTGCCCAGAATCATGAGTTCTACAAGAATGCTGACGTCAGACCCCCGTTCACCTATGCCTCCCTTATTCGCCAGGTAAGTGGGGGCGGCAGGGAGGGTGAGGGAGGCAAGCTAGCTGCACCGGGGCCTCTGAGCCCTGACCATAGGCCTCTGCTTCCAGGAGGGCCCTGGGACCCTCCCATCTGGTCTTCCTCCTGCGGGCTGTAGCTTAGTTTGCCCGCAGCTCAGAGTTTATCCCCATTCGTTTTTCTGTCTGGATCCACAGTGTCGTGCTGATTTCTGCACACACACCCTTAGCCTCCTCCCTCTCTGTTCCTTCTCTCCTGTCCATAAGCCTCAGGGTTAGTGCTCACATGACACATGTGTCTGTGCTGTGGAACTTCCCACGGGTGTGCGTTCTCTCACATTCCCTGGGTGCAAATTCCCAACCACCTCAAGAATGGCGCTTACTTGCTTCCCCTAGATAGGGCACAGGAAGCCGTTTCCCCCTCACCCCCAACCCCAGAAGAGGGTGGGTGTCCCATGTGCACATGGGCAACCCCTGGAGCTGGGCTCCCAGTATCCTCAGCCCATTAGCTCATTGGCCTTGCGGGACACCCAGCCCCTCCCAAAGACTCCTGCATCCACCCATGTGGTCCACACACACTGCAGTGGGTCTCGCCCTTAGGGGTGAGTGGCGGGCTACATAGGAGGGGGAAATGCAGGGCTGTGAGCCCTGCAGGTGTATGCTGAGGGTCTCCTTGCCCTTTCCTTGCCTGCAGGCCATTCTGGAAACTCCAGATAGGCAGCTGACTCTGAATGAGATCTATAACTGGTTTACCAGGATGTTCGCCTATTTCCGAAGAAACACTGCCACCTGGAAGGTAAGCCCCCCCCCCACTTCTTAAGCCTCCACATCCCATTGAGACCCAGGCTGCCTAACCATCCCGTCAGCCATTCTGCAGAAATAGCCCAGCACCCCCCCACACACACACACTTCTTAGCCCCCCAGCCATCTCTGCAGCCCTAACACATACTCTGCAGCGTATTCATTACTGCGCGTTTGTAAGTCAGGGACTTGCCGTATTGCCCAGGCTGGTCTTCAGACCCTGGGTTCAAATGCTCACGTTGTCCCCGCCTCCCTGAGTGCCGGGATCACAAATGTCAGTCACCACAGCCACTCAGGGATTTATTTGCTTTTAATGACCTTGGCCAGCCTTATACTGTCTTTAATGGGAAGAAGTTACTTCTCTCCTCTGTGCCAGCCCTGTGAGACAGGGGCCTCTGAAGGATGAATTCTGGGTAGCAGGTCCTGGGGTGCATCCACAGGTATATACTTCATGGATCTAGATTCCATAACTAAAGGCTCCTATGATGTCAGGGAGGGGGTCACAAGCATACTGGCCCAGATACATGGGTGGACTGAGGCCCAGGGACCATTCCCAGGGACACAAATGGGTACTCACACACGCAGCAGGGAGGTAATTGTCTATCCAATTAGTCATTGAACACTTTCAGCCTGAAGCATTTTCCTAGGAGACCGAAGGAATGCAAGACCCTAGGAAAAATGGGACACAGAGATGTGGGCTGAGACACTAAACCATTCTATAGTCAAGATGTGTGCCCACCCCTTGTTTGGGGCCTGGCACTGTGCAGCAAGGTGGGAAGGTGGTGTATAAATTGAGGAGGAGGAGGGAAAGGAGGAGGAGGAGTATTGGCCCCTTAAGGAAGTCTAGACACAGGAGAGGGCGTCCCTATCTCAGAACTCTAATTGTATCCCTGGCTCTCGGGTCCCCCTGCTGGCCAGTGAGAAAAATGCAGCGAAACCGACACCCTCCCGCTGTGTGACTGTTCTCTCAACACGTGTAACCAAAGCCCCGGGGCCATCGCACTAAGCACTGGGTGCGGTCTGCAGTTACCCAGCCTTTTTACCTTAGTAATGTAGAAAGGGCTACCAGAAGTACCTGTCATGTCATCTTCCCTTTCCTATGCCAAGCTCCCAAAGCTTAGGGAGACTGTGTGGCTGGGGCAGCCATTCTGATTGGCTGTGGGTGATGTCACTTCCTGGCAACCACAGTCCTGCTCTCTTTTTGAGCCAACATGGCATTCTGTGACCACCTGTTCCCGCCTCCAAACTCCAGGCCAGGTTGGAAGGCAGGCTTTACAAATGACACAATCCTATACCCTAAAGTTTAATACAGTGTAGCGCCTGGTTTCTTTGTGGGAGCTGGTTCCCTGGCTTTGTTGGTTTCTCAGTGGCCGTGTTAAAACAGCTTGGCCGCCATCTCTGTTTCATCTTTCCCACACACTGGTCCAGATACACAGTATGCCCGTGTGGTTACCACCTGTACCACCCAGGGGCACCACACTGCCCCCGGCTGGTCAGGCTATCTTGGCTTGAGATCAACATTTTCTTTTAGAGTGTTTTTCAGCCAGCCAGCCTCGGTCATGTTATTGGGGAAAATGTAGCCTTGGTTCCTTCCCTCTGTTTCAGTTCCATCTCCCTCTACTTTATTTGGGTTTCTTAGTCTTCATCCCCACCCCTTCTGGTCCCCATCCATAGGTGATGCTGTATACTTTCGACCCAGGGCACCCAGGCTCGGGAGTGGGTGTGGGCCAGGCCAGCTGCCGTTTCCTGGGGACAGAGCTACCATCTGCCAAGCTGATGGTCCTCACCAGCCTCTCTCATGTCCGTCCCTCCTAGGGCCTGTGTTGTGAGCCCACCCTTTTGTTTACGCAGCCTCCGCCAGACCCCTTAAATTGCCGTTAATGTTTCAGCGTAACGAATTAGTCTCTCATCACGAATCAGGCTTCGAAACGAGGGAAAAAGCCCCGGCGAGGCCACCCTCGGAAATTGGGGTCATTCTCATTTGCAAAGCGGAGGATCGGAGCCCCGTAATGCGGGCAAATTTATTCCGAGGCAGGAGCCCCGGCGTGATTAGGCCCTTTGTAATTATCGCTCCGTGAGATTCCACTCCAGCCGCCCGCCTCCCTCGTGGATTAGCAAGCGAGTCGGAAAAATACACAGGATTTAATTAGAGGCAAATTAAAATTGGTAATGAAATCGGGCCAGTTGCAAGAGGCAAGAGTTGGATGGGAGAGAGGGAGAGGGGATCTCCAGGGGCACCCACTGCCCGCCCTGCCCGCATCCTTCCCCATTTAGAAATGTAAAGAGGAGACAGGGATGGGGAGAATTGGAGGAGGCTGGTGGGGGACAGGTAATGGGGACAGGACTGGGACTGGTGGGGAGAGACAGAAAAACTTAAGAGTAGAGAGTTATGGGGGTAGGGCCAAGGTGCCTGGGGACAGGAGGTGGGTAGGTCAGGGCCCTGGCCCAGGCTTCCAGAGGGAATTAGGCCCAGCAACCCCTGCCCATGTGTCCTACCACCCAGGTGACCCAATTTCTAAAGTGCTAGTGCTAGGAATCGGTGGTGCTAACAGGGTGACACCCTCCCTCGTGTTTTCTCACAGCTTGAGCCTTTAGGTTGCCCTTTCAAGTTAGCCGTTTCTTTCACGTGTATGTGTTGGGCTCCACTGTATGCCTGTCTGTTCAGAGCCACAGCTCGAAGCCTCAGACTCCATAGCGTTCAATAAAGGCAGTGAGGGCCATGAATTGGTGGAGGAAGTTGTTTGCAAGCCCAGAGTTGCTTATAAGCCTGAGGAATAGAGCCCCAGCTTCTCTAAGCCACCGGGGTCCATGTTAAATCTTAAAATCAGAAGCCAGGAGGCTGCAGAAATGGTTCAGCGGTTAAGATAAGAGCACTGGCTGCTCTTCCAGAGGACCCAGGTTCAATTCCCAGTACCCACATGGCAGCTCACAACTGTCTGTAACTCCAGTTGCAGGGGATCCAAAACACTCACATGGACATCCTGCAGGCAAAACACCAATGCACATTTTTAAAAAATCAGAAGTCAGAAATGGTTGCTGCCAGGGTGGGCAAAGAAGCGGTTTTATTTCATTAGTGTAGTATTTTCTCTTCCTTCTGTTGGGGCAGGGCCTCTTTGTGTAGTCCTGGGCCTTTTTACGAAGTCCTGGCTGGCCTGGAACTCCTATATAGACCAGGTTGGCCTCTGCCTTTCATACTGGGGAATAAACTCACGTGGCACCACGCCCGATTCAAGACAACATTTTCTAAGATGAGGCAGAAGTGGGTAGACCCTGCAGGAAGGGCAGTGAGAGCCATCCCTCTTGCTGTCCCTGGGCTGGGTAGGTGGTGGTGGTTCGCTGGAGTGAGGGTGAACCCCATCTATTCCATCCCCAGAATGCTGTGCGCCACAACCTCAGCCTGCATAAGTGTTTCGTCCGAGTGGAGAACGTCAAGGGGGCCGTGTGGACCGTGGACGAGCGGGAATATCAGAAACGGAGACCACCAAAGATGACAGGGTATGTGGGTCCCAGCTGGGTGAGCTGTACTCAAGCCAGACCCTGTGTCTCAAGGACACCCGGCTCCAAATGCTACCCTAAAAAGGGAACGTGGCTGTCAAACGTAGAGGAGACCGGTGCTGGGCAATTTGCATGGGCATGATTGACAGGGCAGGGATAGTGTTGAGGTCTCCTGTTCTCGCTTCTGACTCAGAGAAGCAGTCACGTGGGGGGGGGGGGCAGAGTGCCGGAGAGGTGACTCCCACAGGAATGGCCAGAGGATGTGGACCGAGGCGATAGCTGTTACCTGTACTGCTCCCAGTCATAGGAGGAGAAGCCTGGGCCCTGCCTCTATTGGATGGAGAGGGAAGAGGCTGGCAGGAAGCCACACAGCAGGTTGGTTGGTGGCAGAGCTGGGTCCAGGACCTGGTATCACATCACCACACCATAGGTCAGACTGTGGCTTCTCACATCAGCCCGAGGCCCCTGCTCAGGGGAGGCCTGAAGTAGGCTTAGATAACTTTTTTTTTTTTTTTAAAGATTTATTATTTATTATGTATGAGTGCTGTCTGCATGTATGCCTGCAGGCCAGAAGAGGGCACCATATCCAATTATAGATGGTTGTGAGCCACCGTGTGGTTGCTGGGGATTAAACTCAGGACCTCTGGTTATGAGCCAGTGCTTGTAACCGCTGAGCCATCTCTCCAGCTCCAGGCTAAGGCTCCGTTAGTACCCAATGCTTCTTCTACCCAAGCATAGCCTTGCTGTGCAGCTGCAGGGCATTAGGTGCAGGATAAGACTGAGAAATACCCTACATGCACCCATTTGCCACCTTTGCACTTGGTAGTGTCATCTCATTACCGGCCTGGGCCCTGGTGCATCCCTGTCTCTCCCCCCGTAGTGTGAGCCCTGAGAGCTCTGTAGGAGGCAGCAGCCCCAGCCTTGGCTTCCCCAGCGCCTCTGGCTTCTGCAGCAGAAGGGCCCTCTTGGTGAATGGTGTTCCTGGGGACAGGTCTGAGCACATGGCCCCTCTGTCCTAAGCTCAAGAGTTCCAGAAAGTGGACTTCGTGTATAAGGAGCAGTATAAGCTCTAGGTCAGGCTTTGTTTGCCAAATGTTAAGAAACAGGCATGGTGGGACAGCACTATTCCTAGCACTTAAGAGGTCGAAGCTGGAGGGTCAGGAGTTCAAGACCAGCCTCAGCCACAGGCACTTCAGCAACCAACCTGGGCTATGAGAGACCCTGTTTCTTTTTCTTTTCGTTTTTGTTTGTTTTTGAGACAGGGTTTTTCTATTTAGCACTGGCTTTCCTGGAATTTACTCTGTAGACTAGGCTACCCTAAAACTCAGAGATCTACCTGCCTCTGCCTCCTGAGTGCTGAGATTAAAGACATGTCCCTCAGCTGAGACCGTGGAGTGAGGGGGGAGAGAGAGAGAGAGAATGATGAGAGAGAATATTCTGGGAGTACTGACCCTGCTTTCCAGCTGTCAGCCCATCAGCTCTAAGGTGGGCAGTCTCTGCCCCCTGCCCGGCCATGTTCTTTAAGAACAGAGAAGAACAGGAAGAACCCAGCTGTGGCCTGTCCTGTAGCAATGGGAGAATGAGGTGCCGTTGGGGCTGTCATGTGCCAACCAGTGAGTTGAGGTCACCTCTCTCCCCAGGAGCCCCACCCTGGTGAAGAACATGATCTCGGGCCTCAGTTACGGTGCCCTTAACGCCAGCTACCAGGTGACTGAGCCCACCCGCTCCCCCTGCCTTGACTTCTCCCCCAGCGGATGGGGGAGGTGGGAGGGAGGGTCACACCACTCCCCTTTCCCGGCCTCAGCCCTCCCTCTGCCCTACTCCAACTCGGTAGCTGTGTGCACCTCTGATTTCCAGCCCGGGTTTGGGAAGGGTGGGGATGGCACATGCAGGCTGGTACAGCCAGTGGAGTCCCTTCCCTCCGCCCATCAGACTCCCTCCGTCCCCAGGTGGGAGGGGCCATTGCTAGGCTGGAAGTTTTCCAGGGAAGCTGGGTGGTGGGGTGGAGTTCTGGCTGGTGTATATGGGGGGGGCAGTTGTTTCCAAGGTAGAGCAGTGTGCCATCTCCCTGCCAATGGGGAAGGGTCTCCACCACTGACAGACCCCGCTCTGTGCTGCAGGCTGCCCTGGCAGAGAGCAGCTTCCCCCTCCTCAGCAGTCCTGGCATGCTGAACCCTGGCTCAGCCAGCAGCCTTCTGCCCCTCAGCCAGGATGACATGGGTGCCCCTGGGGAGCCACTGCCGAGCAACGGGAGCAGCAGCCCCCCTCGCCTCTCCCCTCCTCAGTACAGGTGAGCTCACGCAAGCCCTCAGAGGCGGAAGGTGGCGCATCCGGCCCGCAACATCTCTGTGCAGTGGTCCCTTCTTCATCCCCATGATGCTCCCGCCTCAGCCGCCCTCTCTCACCCCGTCCTCCTCCTTCCCCATGGCTCCTCCCACTTCTCCCCCTCAGGTCTCCTTACACAAAGCCTGGGCGTGGTCAGGCCTCAGATGGTGGGATCCTGGCGGGGTCCCGGGCTTCTGCAGGGAGGGGAGCCCTGGCACCCACTCCTGTCACCCTTCCCATCAGCCACCAGGTGCAAGTGAAGGAGGAACCTGCTGAGGCAGAGGAGGACAGGCGGCCGGGGCCTCCGCTCGGCGCCCCCAACCCCAGCACTGTGGGGCCTCCGGAAGACAGGGACCTGGAGGAGGACCTGCCAGGAGAAGACATGTCCTAAGGGCTGGATGGGCAGGCAGGGCGGGCCAAGACCCTGCCGCCCAGTCCAGACCCCAGCCCACCCACCCCACTCTACAGCCCCTCCAACCTCAAGGCACTTCGGGGACTCAAGACGGGGGGACCTGGGCCAGCAGCTCCCCAAGCCACCTGACTGACAGACGCCTGGGGACAGGCACATCCCTGCCCCCTGAGAGGACACAAAACCCTTGGCCCGGGACCCGTAGAGGACATGGAGGGCCCAGACCCTCTCAGCCCCTCCCCTGTATCCCAACCACCACCACCACCAGCAGCAGCAGGGCCCTCCCCCCCCCCAGCGCTCCCCTCCAGGGCCCCTTAGCACAGGGGAGACCCGCAGGCGGGGCTGAGCCACCCTCATATCCCTGACCAGAGGTCCCTTCCTGGTTCATCTTCCCTTGACCTTTCCGGACTGTGAAGATGCTAATGTTCTCCAGCCCCAGCAACCCACTCCGTGGGGCAGCCCAGGCCCAAGCTGCTGGGGTGTGGCAAGCTGTGCCCTGCCCTCCTCCCCCGACCTGAGACAGGACCCAGACTAAGCAGGCCTCCACCTGTTTGCTGGGTGTGCCTGTGGCACCCCAACTCGGAGGAAGCACCGAGGGACCCCGTGCTGAGCACCTTCAGAGCTGTGTGCGGAGGTGGCCTCTGGCCCGGGCATCACACTATGGGAGAAAGCCAGGCAGGAACCATCGTCAGCCCCGCCTGCAAACCCCTACACTGGGGTCCTCTCACCCCTCAGTACCTGTCCCCCAGTTAAACGGATGACCAAAGACCTTTCTTATGCCGGAAGCAAAAACCAAATCTTTTTGTTGGCTTTTTCCTTTGTCGACTCCCGAGCACCCTGCCCCGCCCCCACCTTGCACCCTGGCCCCAGGCTGGAAGCCGTCCCCTCCACTTAAGTTATTGTTTAAAACCAAAGTTTACAGTGTCTGTTGGTGGCAAGACCCTCTCCAAACCCCCCCCCCAGGGTCCAGGGGTCCTGCCCACTTGCCCTCTGCTCTTACCCTGCCTAAGGAGAAGGGGGAGGGCGGAATCCTGCCCCCAACCCCGGGCTGTTTTCTGGGGGCTCTTCAGACCCCTGCATAGGACCAAGTCCCCATCATGCTGGGAGTGTGGATTCTAGCAGAAGAGCTGGAAAGTTGGAGACTCTGTGGACCCCCTATGGGGACCCACAACCCAAGGCCGAAGACTGGGTGTCAGGAATGCCCTGGAGCACCCTGCGATGGCCCCTACCCTGAGAAAGACTCTGGATATTTCCCAGGAGAACCCCACGTTCACCACCAACCCTGTTCCCACCCCACACAAGCCACCCTCCTGAGAGGCAAGGGGCCCCGGCCTTCCCCGAGTATCCCCACCTGTGTTCCGTTTGACCAGCACAGAATATTAAAGTCCTCTATTTACCGGGCCCTGTGTGTGTCGCCAAGGCGAGGGAGGGGAGGGCCCCTGGAGTCAGAAGATTTGCCGAGGACAGGAGGGGCAGGCCTGTGAACCTGCCTGTGGGGCACAGGTCATCCTGGGTCCCTCACAGCTGGCACTCTGCACGAACCGGGTCCTGTCACAATGTCATTGCTGCCAGGGCATTCTCAGACGTGGCCTCTGCTGCCAATGTGGCTAGTGGGCTGTCCACACATGGTGCCCACCTAAGCCGTCATGCTGCCTGGGTAGGCGTGTGTGCGTCCTGACACGACAGGGCTGGTTACTGTGGGCCCTGCGGTGCGTGTGTCTGCAGTGGCCTAGGGCAGGTGGCTCTGGGTTCAGGGGACCCTGGAGAATGAGAGAAGCGACATAACTGTTAGTGCCAAGGTGAGTTCTGCCCTGGGTGACACCCGCACTGCTCACTGGGCCTTCACCTGCAGATCTCCCACACTAGTGTCTGTCAGCTGCCATGCGTGGAGCCGGAGGGCACAGAGAAGCAGAGCTGCAAACAGCCATGCGCAAGCTCAACCTCCGACTCCAAAGACTGCAGCTGTGGGAGCGGTTGGCCTGTGACCTCGCCGCCTACCCCCTTATTTGCTTCTGACTCTGGCTCGCTGACCCTCGCTCCCTCGCCTGAGTAACCGCCAAACTCTCTGTACACTCGGCAAGAGTCAGAGATGGACTCCTGTGTCTGTCCATACACACACACACACACACACACACACACACACACACACACACCATCAAGAGAGGAACAGGCATCACTTGGAGACGGACGGACGGACGGAAGCTGCTTACCCTGCCGGGCAGCACTGCTCATCACCTGGCCCATCACAAAGGCAGTGTGACTCTAGACGGCACCTTCTGCGGTCAAACTTTACTGTGACCTTTGTCTCCTTTCCCCTCTCCTGGCCCAAAGGCCCTAGGAGAATCCAGAGCTGCCAAGCTTATACCTCCCTTACCCTAGCCCTGCAAAAATAGGCTCTGCTCTAAGCCATTCCCAGTGACAGCCTGCTTACTCCAGACCCTAAAAGGGACAAGATGCATCCTCCCCACTCCCAGCTTTGTACTCAGGACAGCTCTCCCAGCAGTCTAACTTCAGTTTCTCCTGCTTCAACTAGAATCCTAGTATTTTGTTTTTTGGGTTTGTTTGTTTGTTTGTTGTTTGTTTTTTAATTCCCATTCTTCCAAAGAGTGGTGGCAATGCTTATCAGTTTGTGAAGTAAGCTAAAGGTCTACCTTGGGTGCTAAAGAAGACTTTTCTACGGTATGCAACATAGAAAGTTTCTAGGATCACTGAGCTCAGACACTCACCTTGTGTTTGAGTCAGGGTTTTCTTATATAGCCCTGGCTGTACTGGAACTTAGTAGAGACTCAGAGAAGCCTATTGGTTCTATCAGTGCTAAGATTACAGACATGGGACACAGTTTGCCTTGCCTGTCAGTCACTTTCCCATCAGGAAGTCCTCCATGCTGTCTAGCTTCTTTCCTTCCTTTTTTAGGTATAATATTTTACCTGTTAAGTGCATCATGTAAGTACCGGGTACCTGCAGAAGCCAGAAAAGAACCTCAGATCCCCCAGGAAATGGAGTTAGAGACGGTTATGGACTACCATGTGACTGCTGGGAACCAAACTCCAGCCCTCCAGCCAGTGCTAACCCTGAGCCTTCTTCCCAGCCTGCATTCACCCTTGTTGACTGGGTTGGCTGTGGCCAGTGGCTCGTCCTGATCATAGGGTCCCTGCCCTGGTGGAGAAGCTCTTGGGAGCCTGACTGGGAGGTAGGCGAAGGTCTGGCTGCACACCCAAGGCCTTCTCCCAGAACTCCTGTTGCCCACGGCCGGCAGAGGGCGCTTCAGACAAAGCGGACCCGCTGCTGGGGGCGCGAAGAGGGTGGAGCCAACGACTTTGAACCCTACCCCTTGCCCAGCCTGGGGAGAAAGAGTTCCCTTTGCTGATTGATGGGGCCTTCCAGATTCTTCCAACATGTGAGTTATGAAGCAGCCTACAGAAAATCGAAAAGAAGGAGGAAGAATGGGGACCCGAAGTCAGAGACTCCTACAGCTGTTCACTCATCAAAAGGAAGGATGAATTCTAACAGTCATAAATACTAACCTCTAACAAGTGGCCTATACTTTGTAGTCCCAATGCTGAGAGGCAGGAGGATCAGGTATTCAAGGACGTTCTGGTTCATATAGTCCTGGGTCAGTCTGGGTTACATGAGAACCTGTGTCAAAACTAACCCTCAAAAAAAGTATTAACATTTAATGATTTTACTGTGTCCTGCATGCTTCTAGAAGCCCTGTGTTTCTTCCCTACAACTCTAGTTAGGTACTGTATCCCCGTTTCTCAGGCAGGGAAACTGAGGCACGGTCTAATTAACTAGCAGGTGGTTCAGAAGACATGGTTGCTTGTGCCTCTGGTTTTAGCATCATTTAGGAGGCTGAGCAGAAGGACCACCAATGAGTTCAAGGCTAGCCTGGGCTACAGAATGTGAAGAGAAGGTAGGGGCCAAATTTGCGCCCGTATGCACGCGCGAGCACACACACACACACACACACACTGCTTCACACACACACACACACACACACACACACTGCTTCACACACACACACACACACACACACACACACACACTGCTTCTCTGGGGAAACTCAGCAGAGAAATTGAGGTACAGGGAGCTCAGAGGCGAGATGTAGACAGTGGTTTTCTGAGCCCCCAGCTGACTTTCTTCTCCAGGCTGAATGAGGTAAACCAGGGTTTGCAGCAAAGCAAGGCCGAACCGCCCTGAGGAATTAAGCACACAGGGCCCTCTGCAGCGCCTCAGGCAGGGCAGACAAAGAGAGCCTTGTCTGAAGTGGGAGCTGACAGCCCAGCTTGTGCGGGTACACCCGTCATTGATTGGTTTACACCCAGAGGCCCCTTCCACAGGCTGCAGAGCAGTCCCAGCCCTCAGGCCTGGTCCCCTTCCCTGGCCTCAGGATCAAACGTTTAGAAAAACAGGGCTAGAGAGACGGCTCATGGGGGTAAGGGCACTTCCGGCCAAGCCTGACAACCTGAGTTCAATCTCCAGAAACCCACAGCGGTGGAAGGAGAGAACTAACTCTTCTGTGATCTGCATACTCCCCCAGCTTTGTAAAATAAATAAATGATGTAAAAAACAAAGTTTAGAAAGACAATCGGTCCCTGTGCCTGCCGGGTCTGAAAGGTCCATTATCCTAACAGAGGGTCCAGGCAGGCATGGGGTTGGCCACCCACTAGGTAGCTGAGCTAACTGGCAGTGCCAAGGTAGGATGGGTGTATCCTCCAACCAAGGTCACTTCTTCCCTGGGACCTGGATTGGCCCAAAATGCCTGCTGTGGGGAAGGCTGTGGGCAGGACGGTCACAAAGGCATCTGTCGGGGTGGAGTTGCTTCTATGACCTAGATATAGATGGAGATAGGCAAAGCCCATGCCGTTCAGGGCAATAAGCTGAGCAGTGCTAATTGTTAGTTCAAGGGGAGGGGGGGGATCTCAGGTGTGCTACAGTTTCCAGGACAGCAAAGAAAACCACTAAGCAAGGACCCTGTAGCAGGACCAATGGCAGAGATACAATGAAAAGAATAAAGGTGTGGGGGAGGGGGGACAGTGCTTACATTTATAGCATCTGTGGCAACATTCTATCAGGTGTATAGGTGTGACAGAAACTTAAGGAATCTGCAATAGTGACAAAAACTCAGGATCTGGCTGTCTTCCAGGGGAAGGGTGTGTGCGTGCGTGTGTGTGTG